ATAAAAGCCCAGATCTGATGTTACTTTTGACAGATTCCTCTTTAACGGGCGAAGAGGGCAGAGCCAAGTCTAGCAATGTAGAGAGGATATTGAGTTCATGTTTGGCCGAATACCTTGATCATTCTGTACAACTCAGTGCTGTGAGACATTCAGGGGCACATGCACTATTGTTACAGGGGCTTACCAGGGATAATCTTATCACATGCCACCTTTAGGTCCCTAAACGCTTATCAGTCCCTTAGTTTAGCAGCTTTACGTAGCTCACCTGGGCTCTTATCTGAGCTGCTGGAAGGCTCAAAGGAATCGCCAGCCTCGCCAGCATACTTACTCTCTTTCTTTCTTTCGCCCTAATTGTAAGAAGATATAGATATATAAATATTCACTTCATAGATTGTTTTGCATTCTTATCCTCAGCAACTTATTATAGATTATTACCAGATAGATCCATCCATCAGTCTTTCTCTCAATCAACATAGAGTCAATCCATCATGTCAACCAACACAACCTCATCCGTCTCATCTATTCGCAACTTCGTCTCCTTCGCGGGAGGCCTCCTATCGCAGATACCAATAATCAACAATCCATCATCCTCCTCGTCGACTGGCACGACTCCTAGACCTTATATACCCTTTGGTAATGCACCAGCGTGTCCGTCAAACTCTCCTCTCTCCTGCCACAACAGCACTACCGCACCGGATTCCTGCTGCTTCATCTATCCCGGTGGCCAGCTTCTCCAGACGCAGTTTTGGGACTACAGTCCTGCAATAGGCCCTGTTGATAGTTGGACTCTCCATGGCCTTTGGTTTGTTCATCTGTCATTAGTACTTGTATGATCTAAAGCTTACCAAATATCGCAGGCCGGATCTTTGCGATGGCTCCTATCCGACTTATTGTCATGAAACACCCCGATACTACAACATAACCTCTATCCTAACCGCCGCGTCCCAGACCGATCTGCTCGCATACATGAATGAATATTGGCTTCCTAACAGAGGATCCGCTGAAACATTTTGGCAGCATGAGATGAACAAACACGGAACATGTGTAAATACTCTTGCACCATCTTGCTATGGCGACAAATACGAAGCCGGCGACGAAGTTGTCGATTTCTTCACGAGAGCTGTGGGATTATTTAAAGAACTGGATACTTACAAAGCGCTTGAGAAAGCAGGGATTGTGCCAAGTTATACGGCTACTTACACGGAGAGTCAGATTCAGGCGGCATTGACTGCGGTTACTGGAAGTGAGGTTGTGTTGGGTTGTTCGTATGGGAGGTTGAACCAGGCCTGGTATAGTTTTAATGTCAAAGGGAGTTTACAACTGGGAGAATTTGTGGCTACCGCTCCAGCTGGGAAAGGCGGGAGAGGTACTTGTCCTAGAAGAGGCATTAAATATTTACCCAAGAAGGGTTATTGAGCCTGTTTATGTATGTTTGGCGCGTTTAGTGCCCTATCAGAGTAGGGCGCGCATCAGACTCGATTTGACGGGGGTTTTATACTTGTTTTTGCTTCTCCGAGGAAGCATGGTATTGCATTGCATAGGATAAGGTTGGTATGCCGCTTGGGTCTTTAGATGTAAAATAAAGAAATGCCATATGGAAATCATTGCATTGAAACCTTCCTTTGGTATCTAGATGTTTACCACAATCCCAATAAACTATTTACTTTATATTTCCACTATTGTGGATGATGCTCAAAGCCGGACATGGGTAATCATGCATAAGCTATACAAATGTGCAATCCATCACTCATTCTTGACAATGCTGTAGTACATTCAAAGTGCTGACTTGGTGATATCCTTGCCTGTCTCCTGGCTATTTTAGAGCTTTTAAATGTATATTCATCCTGTCATTTCGAGCTTTACTTTACATCGTTGAGGATGGATTGGAACAACACAAAGCTGTGTCATTTTCTGCAGAGTATATACATGGGCCGTCCCGATGTTAGTCTTTACTTCCTACCGAAATGCAAGAAGATTAGAAACCGGCCAAATCGCATCAAATGCACTTATTAATTGAAGTTATAACCACCTGTTGGAGGAATGTTTTATCCTGCGAACACCATCTTCCTAGCGGAGGGAAAATTGAGTATCCTGTTATCACATTCCTATCTACTTAGTCCTATATTCATTGCTTTAACGACTTTTATAATGCAATGTATCTTTCATATACATTCGAGGAGTAGAGCTCGAATACAAGGGAATCAACAATAGTTCCAATCACTGTCGCTTCACTTTCCTACAACTTTACATGGGATTATATGGCGTCTTTACTTCAGCCCAATTGTCAAATTTCCCGGACCAAAGTTAGGTGCTATTTTTATTTTTATGTTATACGAAATTTATCATGAGATTGTATTGAGAGGGCAATACTTTCAAAATCGAAAAATTGCATGAGGAATATGGTTAGTATTTCTCCTACACAATCTTGACTCTTTTCAACTAGGACCACTAATCCATATCAATCTCTGAGAGCTGTATATCAATGATCCAGATTATTATGATGAATGTATGTCGCCAGTGGAAAAAAAGCGATAAATATCTTTACTACACCAAACAATTTGGTAACTCGGAATCAATGATCGGTACTGTTTCTCATGATCATCACCGTCTTCGTCGAGAAGTCATGAAACCGATATTTTTCCAAAGCCAGTGTTTTCCGGCTAAAGAGCATGATACAGAAACATGTAGATTTACTTGTCCTGCGTCTCCGTTCATATAATAATACTAAGAAACCAGTGAATCTCTCATGAGCCTTTTTGTGTTGTGCTAATCATGTTATATCGGAATATGCTTTGGGGAAATCATACAATTCCATTGAGAATTCCGAGGATTTTCATACGGATTTTCATACAGATTTTCATGATGCACTTCGGAATATTGGCGAAATATCGAATGTTACGAAGGAATGGTAAATGGATGGTTGTTATTGCTTGATTTTGACGGTGTTACACGAGATTCTTAAGGAGTAAAGGCTCAAATTGGTACTATCATCGATGGAAAACCCCCGATCATGAACGCTCCTCTCGTCCAACAATCCTCCACGAGATGCTCTCCAGCGATCTTTCCCAAAATGAGAATTCTGTGGCTCGTCTCTGGCAAGAAGGGCAAAGTCATTTGAGCCGGTACAGAGACGACAGCTTGGACGTTATCCGTTATTCCTGTTCTCGCTAACCCTGATGTTTTATCGAAGCTTCCGGCAGAAATTGGGGGGGGGGGGGGGGGGGGGGATTGAAGGAATTGGAAAGTTACGTTATTTGACAGCTCAGCTGTGATTCAGGAGGCGCATTTGCAATCTACTGTTCAGGTCTTGAAATTTAATGAGTGGGAAATTCCCGCTGGTGTATGTTCTGCTCTCAACTTTACTTTCTTGATTCTCCTTCCACTTTTCCGGCTGATCCATCAATCGATCAACCATCCTAACACTCCCACAGATCCCGGTATTCATATCGTCCTTCCTCCAACACATCGATCCGCGCATCTTCTTTTCTCCTGCCACTTTCTCATTAACCCGCTTCCTCCACAACTCATCCCCATACAAAAGTTTCAGTACGGGTTCTCGTGAATGTTTGGGAGTGAATTTAGCATGGGCGGAATTGTATTTGTGTGTTAGGGGAGTTATTGGGGATTAGACTTGATGTAAATTATACGAATGTTGGTGATATGGAGTATACGATTGATTACTTTGTATGGACGATTAGTGGCAGAAAAGCGAGGGTCTTAGTTGGCTGGGAGGATGAAGTGTAGTTAATGAAAGGTGTAGGATAAGAATGTGGTCGGGGGTATGTATATTTATGGAAATATACAGCAGAATGAGTGTATCCCACAAGCTATTTATTACAAATCATATATATTTCCAAAATTAACAAATCCTAGCAAAGATTTGAAATAATATGGTAGGTAGAACAACGACAATATGACCGAGACCAAAATTCCATGTAGCTGTATGCCCCTAATAATACACCACCTATTTACTCATACCTCTTTCTCACTTGCAGCTTTCTTATAATTGTGTATTCAATTTCGCGCAACTCTCAATAAGAGAGCGTGATCACTACTTATATATGTAGGTGGATAGGCTAGTTTGAATTGGCCTATTTTTTCGTGTTCCTATAATATATATCGATGTAGATGTATACCAAACTCGACGGAACCGGACGAAGGATGGCCTCATCTGCATACAAATTGAGTAATAAAGCCGTACAACCAACAGAACCATATGGACCTATTTTTCAAGTCTGATCCATATTTCACCACTTTCGAATAATAATCTCCGATGTGTATTTATAATCTTAATTCCCAAAGAAAACCATAAATCGGGGAATTATACTGAATGAATTAAAGGGTCTCAGTAGTTCGGAGTTCAAACCTTTGGAATTTCAAATCATGTCCAATCATCCAAAACTTTCCAACATAGGAATTTCTCGGTTTCGTCTGTTCGCCCCCTTAAATTTAAAGAAAGAAGGTCCGCTGCATAACGGGTGAATTATACTGGGGCGAACAAATGACCTTCGTATTTAAAGATGGAATCAAGCAGAAAGACTTACAGAAAAAGAAGCTCTGAAGGACAGAAAATAAAATGCTTCGAGCTATACTTCCATTTCCTATGCACCCCCTATAATACTTTCAGAAGAAAAGAAAGATGTATCTACTAATCATCAATGGTATGTCGATGACATAAATACTGTTCACAAAAAAGCTGGGGGGAATATGACAGGAGGTCCGCACTATTGGATTCAAATACAAGATCGACGTACTATACTATTTAGATCCCGATGTCGATATAAATGGAAAGAAAAGAATGAAGTGATTGTTGTCTACATCAGTCTTCAAACAGATAAAAAGGAAAAGATAATGGAATAAAATATGCGAAACACAACGAAAAAGCTTCGTATAAAACACTAATATGCCTACCTCCACCTTCAACCATCTATCCAGTATCCTTAGTTTCACTAACCCTCCGTCCCCCAAAGACAAAACGATGCTAGAACTGCAAAAGGTCATTCCGAATCCGGGAATCGAACCCGGGGCTACTCGGTTCAGTGATCAGTTGCTAGAAGCAGAAGATGATTGAAAGCGAGTTATGTTAACCCCTACACTAATTCGGAGCGCTTGTTGATGGAGGGAGCGTGTTTATTAAAGAATATATCTGTGAAGAAAAAACAAGAAAAGGGTAAAAGAGGTGGAGAGCCTGCAATGAAAAAATGGAGAGCCTGAAGGGAAGAGATTTAAAGGTGGGGACGGGCTAAGGGGATCCAAGGGGGGCGAATGGTGAAGCGAGGTGGGGTCTTAGGATGTTTTGTCACCGTGAATATTTTTTGATGCTCTCTCTAATATGTTGAATTGCATTTGATTTTCCGACGGCATTTGCAAGGCTATTTTGTGATTGAGAATAATGATACACTCTTACCTCTCCTACTCTGAACATTTCCAGTTCACTCACATGAAATCTCCTGAAGGAAGCAGTCTCAAGCTTTACACGGAATACAAACTAGGAAAACTCTCAACATACAGAATATCAAATTCGCTCCCGGACATCCTCGCCAAGGAGACTACACTTACAGTGGACCATGAGAAATTTGCCCGGGTGGAATGGGTGGAGAAGTGAGAGGGGAAACCCCACAGAAGCTTTATAATAAAAAATTTCTACAAGTAAAAGTTAACAAGTACCTCTTCCATGTAACAAAAGGAAATGGAAAAGAAGAGCAAAGGTTCAAAGGTTCAAAAATTGGAAGAGGGTCTTCTCTTCGCTCGAGGTTCAAATGAGGACCAATCCAGGTTTTTGAATGATATTTGAGAGATCGTTTATGGCAATCATAATCTATTTCGTATAGCACTTCTTCTCTGTGGAGTACACACAACAACAAATATTCTGACTGATTTCTACAAAAGGTCTCTTCCCTTTCCTTATTACCTGTTGCGTACGATCTCATCCCTTCCTCCACCACAGCCCCTTACCAAAGAACCCCTAAAACTAAAACACAGCTGCCCGTCAATCATTTCACATACTATGTAATATATCCATTCTCCCAAATACTCGAAATAACAAAATACATTCCCAACCCCACCATTCGACCACAAAATGTCCAAATTCCAAAATCTCCCAAAAATCAACCACACATTATTTCTTTCTCATTCAAAGCTCAGTCAGGCCTCAAAAAGGTCAAAAATGCGTTCGCCGGGAATCGAACCCGGGGCCCATCGACGTTGTTCAACTTTCTTCTGGTGAAGAGAGATTGATGGCAACGATGGATTTTACCACTAAACCACAAACGCTTGCAAATAGATGACTAGTTATTGTTAGAGAAGTTCGGAGTTCTTTGCTATATATTAGAGGTGTATTGCATGGTTTGAAGGGGCTGGAGGAGGTTGCATGGAAATGTGGGTTGAAATATGTAGATCGGATCGGAAAGTTGAGAGAAGAATTTTCAAAAAGTGGGGTGGTGGGGGATCAACTTGACATATCTAAACAACAGCGAGCATGTATAGTATTGAAGATATCTAATGATGACTACCCTTCGAGTATCGAGTTCCATCAAAATCTCATCTCCTTCGTGACTCGTCTAACACAGTGCTCTTCTGAGTGTGTCCAATAGTCCGAATTAGCAAACTGCAGTAGCTAGTTAGTAGTTAGTGTTTCATTCAATGTTTGAAAAGGCTTAAATAATTGAGTATAATTTATTGTTTGAGACAATTTGAATTTTTTAATTAGATTCAATGTTCCAGAAATTCAAAGACTTTTAATTATTAAACTACACTGTAGTCCAGACAATTAGACCCCCTGGCTCTCTACCATCCACCACCCAACAACAAACAAAAACCCCGCCACAAAATCTATACTCCCCACCAGCATGTATGATAACCTCTACTAACCCGTCCCTCATTCACAAATCACCACAGTCCAGGGGCTGTAACTCAGTGGTAGAGTGCCTCGTTTGCATGTTCAATGATTCCTTAAAGAATCTCCTGATAATCATCGATGAAGTCCAGGGTTCGACTCCCTGCCGCTCCAATGTCATTTTGCACCTATTTCCATCTTTTTAGTTTGAAAATTAGTTCGTGGAAATGAAGTTTTGAATGGTGGGTGATTGATTGTTTTGGGGTTTGCGTCTGGGGATGGAGATGCTGTTTTTAATGCATGGGGAGCAATGGTTTCCTGCTCCTTGGGTTATATTTTCATATTTTTCAAGTTCAGATATCTTGTGTTAAAGGAAAACCGAAAATCCCCAACATGCATCAGGCCCCCCACATCACAACCCCATTACAATCCTCCAAAACTCGCTACCCAGCGGATGCGAAGTCCACTCTACAACCTACACCTTTAAAACATCTCACATTTTTTACTATGTTGGAAGTATTCATTTTCTGTACTCCTTATGGCGCGTCCATCTCGCGTTTAACGGGGAGAAAGGTTAATGAAGTGGAAGTTCATGCTTCTCGAGTAAATTTATAACTTTAAATTAATATCACTGTGGGAGATTTTGTTGATTTAATTCAGATAGTAAAATCAACCTATATAATGAAGGAACTATGTTGGAGAGTTATCGAAGCCATATTTCCTCTTTAGAAGAGGTCGTTCAACAAAAGGGGCCTTCTCAAGTCCTCCTCCCCTTCCCCCAGGGTATCCCATAGTCCGGATCAGCAGACCAAAATGCGAACTTTGAATGCTTGAGAATTTAGAATGTCCTAAGTGATTATGTTAGTGCATTCATAGTTTCAACGAATTTCATTTTTCCGAATGAAGTTAAAACCTGAAATCATTGCAATGTTCGGAATCCACCTCAAATCTTTTAAACAAACTCAGAAATCAAAGGCTTCCCATTAATTGGCTGAAGTCCGGACCGTTGGACCCTGCTTCCCCTTCTTTCTTGTCCTGAACTTGACAAAACCTATGCCATGGTTCCCCCCCCCCCCCCAAATTTCATATCTCCTAACCTACCCGTCCCTCCATATTGAAGCCATCCACCTATCGATATTCCAGCCCTGTAGTCAAAGTCAAAAGTAGTCCCCAAGAGACTTTCTATTCCTAAAAACGCCATTCCATAAGAAACAGTGATACATTGTTTTCACCTATTATCAAATGGCATGTGAGCTTAACTCCCAGAGCCTCAAAATGACACACAGAAAATCCTCCAAAAAATCATTTAGCACCTCTTACACCACAAAAATTTGTCGCCAAAGAGGAAATATAGTAATGACCAGACTGGGGCACGATCCCAGGACCTTGTCCGTATTTAACAGGTATTAATTGTTAAGGACACGTGATAACCAACTACACCATCCGGCCTGTTTTGTGTTTGCTCGGTGGCTAATTGAATATATATTGGATGTGTGCAAAGGTGGAGTGGAAGTGGTGGGGATTGAAGGTGGAGCGGTACCATAAAAGCATAAAAGCGAAAAAGCGTGTCATTGGAATATTGTCCAGTGGTGCCGAACAAGAGATGGATAGCAAAAGATTCATGAACGTATTAGGCCCAAGGTATCTTGTGTATGCTCAACCACGTGTGAAATGTTTGTAACTGTCCTCGATGCCGCCCTAGTAATGTGTATCAAGACATCAGGCTCAGCTGTTGCTCACGTACATAAGCAGCTGTTGGATTTGATGGCATTGAAGTGGAAAGAGGAAAGCTTCAGCCATCATCGTGATATCCGGCATTGATTCGAACCTCCTTTCTCGTCGCCCTCCCACCCATCTACATTTCCCTTTCCAGACCAAAAAAGAAAAAAAAAAACATACAACAGTAGGGATTCGCTGGTGGTCACCCACCCAACTACTAATCTACCGATCTGAGGCTTGTGTATGGCAGAGCGGACGGGATGCCCAATTCTCCTCAGTCTATGGTCGTATGTGGAAGGGATAAAGAGATTTAATTATATATCGGGATACGGTCGATGTGAGTTGCCAATCAATATGGATATTCCTCAACCTCGTCAATGTCACGTCTGTCTTTACACTGCGATGCTCCTTTCAGCCGCAGAGATTGAAAAGGGGTTTGAATCCAGTCACTAGTTGAGATGCGGATTATGAGCTGCTTGATTTCCAAGCATGCGCTTGTGTGACCACTCGGTTGATAGATAAAGTAACTTTAAGTACCAGGGAAATCTAGAGGAGATGGATCAGCCTTTATTTTTAACTCAGCTTGAAATGGAAATTAATTCAGTTCATAATTTTGAGACATTTCAATATTGGAACCGGAAAGGTTCATTTCCTATCATCGAAAGGTATTGAAATTAATGAGTACCCAAATCAAAGACATTCCCCATCAATCATGGTCTAGAAGGCATCAAGGTACCATCAACGCCTAAGCTGAACTTCCAACTTTCCAAGAAACGAGTTGTTGTCCCACAAACGTGTAAGCTCAACGTGCATAAAGTTACATCCATTGACGAAGGGCCAATTGGTATGTTAAACATCAAACGGGGTTATTGCCATGCTCGCTTGAGTATTGGCTGCAGGTATACGTAAATATACGATCGGGTACAACATCTTAGATGTTCATCTGACGATGACAATATGACTGATTTAGGATTCGATAGGGCAGATGGAAGGTACAATGAAGAGGCTGATATAGAATCGGGTAGGAAGGGTCATCGTCCATAAGTCTTGAAAGTACTGATTTCTTGTTTCTTGACGAATGGCTTGTGAAGAATGGTAAAACTGGTAAAGCCGAGGTATCCGTCAAAAGGGGAGAATTGAAATCGGCCAAAGCCCCATAGAGTTCGGACGAGAATGTCAAATAATGTCCCTCTTCCAAGATAATTGATGAAATAACGAGAAATATCTTTCGGGCTCCAATTGATCGTTGACCTCGGCGCAAAAGTGTCATCCTAAGTCTCGTGTCTCTTGAATTACGGCAAAACAATCACTATTTGACATCTAACTCCGGTCCTTTCGCCACGTAGACAACATTAATTGGCGAGTGACTCCATATTATGTATGGAGTTTTGATGAGAGAGGAAGGTAACATAGGCCGTGAAGATGTTTGGTCGGTAAGATGTTACAGAGTAGAAATGAAGATGTTAATCAGTTGAGAAGATCCTACCGATAAGGAAATGTGCCTGCCCCACGTGATCGTTATCGGGAAGATCCCAAGAATTGTTTGACGTC